CCCCCCCCCCAGCCCTGCCCTGGCCCCCGAGCCTCTTGGTTGCCCAGTAGCACCTGGCTAGCCACCGGAGGATGCATTTCTTGCAGAAGATGTGGCTGCACGGCAACCTCACCGGCCTCTTGAGAACTCCGTGGCAGACAGAACACAGGAAGTTGCAATCGGGAGGGCTGGTGAAGAGGTTGAGATCATACCCGCCACTCTGCAAAGGCCAGGCCTGCATCAGGGCCTGGCTGGGACCAGGATCTGACTCCCTACTCCACATGCCCAGAAAGGGACTCCAGGAAGCTTTGGTTGGGAGGTGGGCCACATGAGAACCATAAACGGAGGGTTGGGTCAGCACCCAGTTTGAGGGGGCAGCAGTGAGGGCCAAGATCCCCCATTTCTACCAAACCCAGCTGTAGAAGTTGGCCTTGGCCTGGAGTTAGACCTGGGCCAGAGGTCTCTGAAAGGTTTCCTTGTCCCATTTGGGGCCCTGAACCCTGTTGTGCAGATCATCTCAGTGAGGAGTGGGGTCCAGCTTGGGAACGTCTCTGAAATTAGGCACAATCTAAGAGCTCACCATGATCTGTGTCTGGACGGCAGCTCCACTGAAGCCAGGGCTCAGGAGTCACCATTTCATAGCAGGAGCAGGTCGACATCACAGGGGCATTGTCCAGCTCAGGCCAATCACAGCCCTGGCCCAGGGTACCACTTGGCTCTGCTCCTGCCTCAAGAGCCTCAGGGGTAGGGCAGCTTATACCAAGGACAGGTCTCTGGAACCCCTGACTTCAGGGTGGCTGACAGTTGACCTTCAAACAGCAGTAAGGCTGGAACAAAGCTTCCAGGGGCTACTTCCTCAAAGCTGAGCCTGCAGTCCAAGCGCACGGTTTGTTTTCCTTCCTCACGTGGTGCCACCCAGGTGACTAGGTCCCCAAGAGCTCTGGGGGCTTTAGACACTGACCCATCACCAGGCCTCGGGATCAGACCCACATTTATTTCCAGGGTACAGACCAGGAATGAGGACCTGATTTCTGTGGTACCAAAGCAGCAGCCTGGAATGTGGAGAGCCTCCCAGAGCCTGCTCTGACCACCTGGGTATACCTATGAGGAAAGGCATGGATGGGTAAACCAATTCCAGCTTGGGAAACTAGCATATCCCCATATAGGAGGCACAGAAGAGAACTGGTTTCCATGCCACTGAGTGTTTGCACAGGCTTAAATTGCTCAGTTGTGTCCAATTCTTTGAGACCCCATCGACTGTAGCCCGCCAAGCTCCCCTGTTCATGGGATTCTCCAGTCAGTACTGGAGTGGGTACAGTTCCTTCTCCAGGGGATCCTCCTGACCCAGGGATTGAAGCCAGGTCTCCTAAATTGCAGGTGGATTCTTTACCATCTGAGCCATCAAAGAAGCCAGAGTGTAGAGTTCATCAAATCCTAGAAGATTTTGGAAGGTGGAACCTTAGGAGTCACCTGCCAACCTTCAAGACCGGGTTCTATCCCTGGGTGGCATTCAAAGCAGAGCCGAGATGGCTGGAAGAAAGGTGTCCCACAAAGGTATCTCCTCCACAGCACACCTCAGTCCCAGCAGCCACAGATGCGTTTTGCNGCGGCATTGGCCTCAGTTTCTGGGCATCCAGCTGTCCTGCGGGTAGAAGACAAGGTCAGATACCAGAGTCCGAAACACGCGAGAGGCCGCAACCGAGCCCGGAGCGGCGGCGCGTGTCGGGGCCTGGGTTTCACATCCCCACACGGAGAAGCGGGCAGTGAGCTAAAGCCCCCGGTGGCTCTGGGCGCCGAATCTCACCTGCGGCCATGGTCAAAGTCGAAGGTGATTTTCAACCAACGCCGATCTCCCAAACCACCCCCACCCCCGCCCGCCCCAACAGCTTCCCGAACAGTAGGGAGCCAGCGGACCCAGAAGAACAAACCTACCCGCAGCCGGAAAATGCGAGGTGGTGCCGGCGCGAGTCTTTATATGGGTCGCGGAAGTTCCCGAGGCCGCAGACACGCATGCGCACGCAGAGTTCGGCGGGGACGGGGCCCCGCGCAGCCAATCACGGGTTCCTTAATATTCTCTTGGCGCAGCGCCATTGGGGCGGGGCAACCGAGATCTCGCGACCCTTGGTGCCTTATAAAGACACCGTCGCGCGCGATTTCTTTCTCTTCTTCGTGAAAACACGTGAGTGATTGTATGTGTGCCTGAGGCAGGCGGGCCTGGGTCGCCATCGGACGGGGCCCGGGATGCTGCGCCCGCGCTCCGTTGTGGAGCCCGGCCGGGGCCCCCGAGGCGGCTCTAAATGCCGGGACTTCGCTCACCGGCTGGTTCTTGTTTCTTTTTAGCAAATGGCGGATGACGCCGGTGCTGCGGGAGGGCCCGGAGGCCCGGGGGGCCCTGGAATGGGAGGCCGCGGTGGCTTCCGCGGAGGCTTCGGTAGTGGCGTCCGGGGCCGGGGTCGTGGCCGAGGTCGGGGCCGGGGCAGAGGCCGCGGAGCTCGCGGAGGCAAGGCCGAGGACAAGGAGGTAGGTCTGAGCTGGGCTTGAGGTGGGCCCTTGGGCAGCACCGGGGAGGAGGCCCTGGTCACTTGCGCCTTTTTCTTTCGCAGTGGCTCCCCGTTACCAAGCTGGGCCGCCTGGTCAAGGACATGAAGATCAAGTCTCTGGAGGAGATCTACCTTTTCTCTCTGCCCATCAAGGTAAACACGGTTCCTCATCCGGGATGGCGCCGTGGCCTGTAGTCGAGGGAATTCTTGTCGTTGGCCAAACGTTGAGAGAGAGGTTCTAGATTCCACTTGACCTGGGCTTCCCTGGTGGCCCAGACAATAAAGAAAATGCCTTCAATACAGAAAACCCGGGTTCGATTCCTTTTATTTGGAAGATCCCCTGGAAAAGGGGATGGCTACTCATTATTTCTTGGAAAACTCCGTGACCAGGGGAGCCTGGCGGTCCATGAGGTCCCAAAAACTCCAACACAACTAACACTTGAGGCTCCCCCTTAGGTGTTAATTTTTTTTTTTGTAATGAGTTCACTTTTTGCAGGAGTCTGAGATTATTGACTTTTTCCTGGGAGCGTCCCTCAAGGATGAAGTTTTGAAGATTATGCCCGTGCAAAAGCAGACCCGTGCTGGCCAGCGGACCAGGTTCAAGGTACCCCAGTCACCATACCTTCCTGGTTAGTTGCTGCCAAGGGCCTTCACGAGACTCTCTCAGCTCTGCATGGTTGCACTTGGCGTCACACGTGTGACTTTCGTAAAGGGGAGAGAGAGGATGGATCTCCTCAGGATCTCAGATTGGCCTCCTGGTGGCCAGTCTTGCCTTGAGGGGCGCAACAGACCTTGTGTGGTGGGTGGTTACTGATGCTGTGGAGGCCCCTGGCCCACCACCCACGTCAGTCTCTCTGCAGGCATTTGTTGCCATTGGGGATTACAATGGACATGTCGGTCTGGGTGTCAAGTGCTCCAAGGAAGTAGCCACTGCCATCCGTGGGGCCATCATCCTGGCCAAGCTGTCCATCGTCCCCGTGCGAAGAGGCTACTGGGGGAACAAGATCGGCAAGCCCCACACAGTTCCTTGCAAGGTAGACTGGATGTTGGTGCACAGTAGGGCTTGCGGTGGTGTAGACTCCTGCCTGTTTTGTCTCCTGACGTCTCTACTCCTCCCCAGGTGACTGGCCGCTGCGGCTCCGTGCTGGTGCGCCTCATCCCTGCCCCTAGAGGCACTGGCATCGTCTCCGCCCCTGTGCCCAAGAAACTGCTGATGATGGCCGGCATCGACGACTGCTACACTTCTGCCAGGGGCTGCACCGCCACCCTGGGCAACTTCGGTAGGTGGCCCGCAAGCCAACTCCAGCTTCTCTCAGCTCCGCTTGGCCACATTCTGTGTGTGGTGGGCGTATTTTCAGAGAGAGAGAGGAAGGCCCTCCCAATGCACGACAGACTGGCCCACAGTGGCCTGTTTGTTCCTAGGAGCGCAACAGCCTCCATCTCCATCTGGGGGTTCACCTTGGGTGAATTCACCAGCCTTCTCTGGTTTTCCCTTTTCTAGCCAAGGCCACTTTTGATGCCATTTCCAAGACCTACAGTTATCTCACCCCTGACCTCTGGAAAGAGACGGTGTTCACCAAGTCTCCATATCAGGTACTGCCTGCCCCCCACCCTGTTGAAGAGCAGAGGGGAGTACTCTGTCTAGGTGCACAACTAAAAGTGTCTTGCTTTTCTAGGAATTTACTGACCATCTTGTGAAGACCCACACCAGAGTCTCCGTGCAGAGGACCCAGGCCCCAGCTGTAGCCACCACATAATTTTATAAAGAGAATAATAAAGTGAATGAAACCGGTTTATAGTTGTGTCTTGTTTTTCTTCCCAAATGGTTTTGGTCGCACGTTTAGCTGATGGGATCTTTCCCAACCCCCCAGCAGTGGAAGCCACTGGACTTAAGCTCAGTGGTGGCTGAATTTGGACAGGAAGTAGGACCAGTGAGATGAAAAGTATGTCTAGGAGCTGAAAGGAACACCACAGGCACAGGCTCTCTCACTCTTTATTGGAGCAGCAGTGAGGACACAGGGACATGCGGCGGCCTCAGGCGGCGGCGGCCTCTTTAGCAGCTTTTCTCTCGGCCAGCATCCTCTGCTTCTGCTTTGCCAGGCACTTCCTGGCAGAATAATGGGCCCCCAGGTCGTGATCTGGGAGAGAGATGGGCGGGGAGTCATGGGCCACTCCAGTCATGAGGGGAACCTCTGCAGGGAGGGAGCTAGGGCAGGTCACTGAGCAGATTAACAGGGTGACTCAAAACCTCCAGAGACTGGCCTAGTTAGTAAAGCGTTTAGCACAGAGCCAATGTGGAGATTGGAAGTAGGATCGGGAAGGCAGGCAGGTGGGAGAGGCGGGAGGGCTCACTCACAGCGGTCCTGGTAGGCCTTGACCACCTGGGTGAACTGCTCCAGCTCCTTGGCACAGTTCTGCCTGTGGCTCTCACCTTCCCTCTGCTGACAGGCCTTCAGCCTCTCCTGGATAATGTTGACGATTTCTTGATCAACTTTGCTGAAAGGAAAACAAGGCAGATGGTCTATAAGGACTCCTTTCCTGTACTGAGAGTAAAATGAAGGCAGGGCATGGGAGGCCTGTGGTCTGGCCTCTCCACCCATGGTTTCCCAAGGGCATGATGGCTCCCAACAGGGTACATTCATTGTGCAGGGTTCTCTGTATCCCCTGATTAAACAGAAGCCCAAGGGGGAGGCCTTACTAATCTCTTCTCCACTGCATCTCTGCTTCAAACATGCACAAGACGTCCTTCTCCTGGCACTCTGTGATGTCCGGCACGCGGCGGAACTCACGGTGATAGTAGTAATACTTGTTCTTGGCATGCTGCCGCTCGATAAACTCTGCAAAGGGAAAAGCCCAGACCCAAAAAGGCTACTGGTTTGGACAGGTCACAGTCTGAAGGGGCTCTTAGCTTTGTATTTCTCGTAAGTCGTGGAAGAGGCACGTTCCCCAAATGTTCCCAGTTTTACAAAGACTGGCAACGACTCACAAAGAGGTGTGGGAGGGCTGGCAGCCAGTCCTGGAAAGGACTGGGCTTACAAGCCCAGATGTCTGCAGTTTATGAAGAGTTCTATAAGGCAGGCACCACCCTTATCTCACTCAGTCCCCACAACAACCCCGTGTAGGGCAGGGCCTTTTCATTTATAGAGAGGACATCCAGGTCTGAGATGGCAGGATTCAGAGCCTGTGCTCTGCAAGCCCCCACCTGCCAGTCCTTCTGGCCCACCTCCCCCAGAGCACAGGGACTCCACTGGAGGCAAAGAGGCCCCAACAGGGAGCCATCAGCAGGCCTCCACTGCCAGTTCTGCCATCTCTGACCTTCGGCCTCAACTTCCCCATGTGTAAATGAACAAGCTGGATCTAGTGAGATCTCACC